AGCGGATGGGAGGGAGGAATAGGGGATGGGAGGGAGGAATAGGGGATGGGAGGGAGGAATAGCGGATGGGAGGGAGGAATAGAGGATGAAGGAACTAGGTTATGCAAAGATGTTTGCGGCAGCAAAGATAATCACAAATTACGTGGACAAGAATAGCACCATCTTTATATCAATGGACCTACAAACAATCTGAGCCGTCCATTCACCTCCACACCTCCTCGGCCATAGATTTCATGCAGGCTCGGAAGGAAGCTTCCTCGTCGCTTCCTGCTACCACGTCAGGCGGACACGCCACTGCTTCCCACCATCTGCAGCAGCCAATCAATAGTGGACACGTGGACTCATCCCCAGAAAAGCACACATGCGTGCCAGCACAAAGCAGCCAGTGCATGCGCTCGCATGTGTGTGCGCGTGAGTGGAGTGGGGTGGGTGGGGTGGGTGGGGGTGCACGTGTATGTGTGTGTGCATGTGTGCGAGTGGGTGGGTGGGGGAAAGGCGAGGGGGGTTGGGGGGGGGGGGGGGCTGCCTGTGCGTGCATGTGAGAATCCCTTCCCCACACCCCCCTGCACTCACATGGCCTTGTGTCCAGCAGCAAACAGCGTCCATGCCTCCAGCTTCCACCTTCCACTTCTCCATTTACACACATTGCCCCCATACATTCATCCCTCCTTCATATCATACCCCCTTTCCCCCTTCCCTCCGACCCGCGGCACTCACATGGCCTTGTGCCCCACAGCGAACGGCATCCATGCCTCAAGCACTAGCTTCCACCTCTCCTCCTCCTCCGCCTCCCCCCTCCCCTCTGTCTCCTCCTCCCCAACCTCCCCTCCCCCCTTGCCAAGTAACGTGTGAGCGCGAGAAAGGGCTGATGCCACCACCTGCCGTGTAGAACGAGGGACACAGATGCAGCAGAGATAGTAGTCTAGTTTTGAGGCGCCTCAAAATGCGACTTGTGTCACGCAGATGCAGCAGAGATAGTAGTCTAGTTTTGAGGCGCCTCAAAATGCGACTTGTGTCACGCAGATGCAGCAGAGATAGTAGTCTAGTTTTGAGGCGCCTCAAAATGCGACTTGTGTCACGCAGATGCAGCAGAGCGTGGTGTGGAGCCAAGAGACAAAACCAACCGGAGGAACAAAGAGACACAGATCCAAAATCAGGAAGAGTTGGACGGGTGGAGCAGTAGAGAGTGCAGACAAGTTATGTTTTTTTTTTGTTTTTTTTTTTAGGCGCCTCAAAAATCAGGTGGAGTTGGATGGAGCAGAGAGTGCAGAGAAGACAAAAGGCTCGAAAGTGAGCTGCCGCTGCTGCTGCTGCTGGGTGTGTCTCTCAGCAGCAGAGGCATGCAGTAAGAACAACCCCATGCTTTAGTGTCCCATGATGATACAAACGATGGCATGCACATGCCATGCCATGCACATGCCGTCCCATGCACATGCCATCCCATGCACATGCCATCCCATGCACATGCCGTCCCATGCACATGCCGTCCCATGCACATGCCGTCCCATGCACATGCCGTCCCATGCACATGCCGTCCCATGCACATGCCATCCCATGCACGTCCCATGCACATGCCGTCCCACACACAGTCCATCCCACTACAGTGTGCTGTGCCACCGTGCATCCACAACGCACAGCAGCAGTCAGCATCCACGCCACGCCCAACTGGGCCGTTAGGGATGGATGGCAAACACTTCACAGTCTAAACCTGAAACCTCAACCCCTTAAGCCTTACATATTTCGCATTTTGGCATCGATTCACACATCGGCGACCAAACGACTAGTTCTGTGGGGTATATAATGAAGGTGAAAAACAGATCCAACAAGCTTCTATTGTACAGGAGCGACCATTCACCTTAGCAGCCAATCGGAAGATGTCATTAGATTCTGTGGCGGGGGGGGAGGGAGGGAAGGAGACGGGAGGAAATGGAGGAGAGGAAACGAAGGGGATGGTATAAGGAAGATTGACATATCCACAGGAAAGAAATAACACTTTGGACACTTATGAATGGAAAATACCTCTTGCCATACTTTTGAGGCATATTAGAAAAGAAATCACCTCCTGCCAGACCATCAGCACCACCTTATACCTTACCACACACCATCAGCATGGGCTCGCCATCAGCATGGGCTCACCATCAGCATGGGCTCACCATCAGCATGGGCTCACTATCAGCATGGGCTCACCATCAGCATGGGCTCACCATCAGCATGGGTATAGAAGGCCTTCAGAGCTTGGGTGTCCTTGGCATGCGAGGCGTGCCCCAGGCACAGCATGGCATGGCCTTCCGCCCATGCTGACGTGGCACACGTGGAGCTGACAAGAGGGGTGCATGATAGATGGGATAGGATATGCATGCTTGGATGGTAGCCTCACATGTGCATGGCATGGAGGATGGCATGAAGGATAACATGTGGGAATGCACGGGCATGACATCATGTTATGACATGGAAATATGGTGTAGCCTTATGCCATGGCCCATGCCAAAGGTTGACGGCATGGGCATGTGGCAGGCAAGGGGATATAGCGGAATCTGATCGGCAAAAACGGACTTGACTATGGCCTGTGAGCAGAGGGAAGGTCTACAGAATAACCTTCTTGGATAGAGCGGAGGGTACACACTCCGCTCTGCTCTCTCACTTGTTCCCTTGAATGAAAATGCAGGGTGCTCTTGAGAACTCTCAACGACACCCTACTTGGTTAGAGCAGAGCGCACACACTCCGCTCTCTCAATTGTTCCCCTGAAAAAAATTCCCATCCATCCACCTTCCCCTCCCCTCCCCACCACCTCACCTGCAGAGCACCTCTTGAGTGCAGCCTCCAAGTCAAGCCACGGCTGAGGGGAGAGAGAGTGCCCGCACACTCAGCGGGCAGTTTCATTTCAACTGGCGGCTCAACAGGTGATGTTTGACATCTATCGCCCACTTTCCTCTGCTCACCTGCAGAGCGGCGCTTCTGTGGAGCCAGCAGCACCAGGGAAAGCCACAGCAGACGGTAGAGCACCTGCACACTCCCCATAGGGCACGCTCAACTCAACTGGCTGCTTGACAGCTGCTGTGTATTTTTTAGGCGCCTCAAGAATCAACCGGGCGCTTGACAGCTGCTGTGTATTTTTTAGGCGCCTCAAGAATCAACCGGGCGCTTGACAGCTGCTTTGTGCGATACTAACCCCCTATCTGCTGCTCACCCACCTGCAGAAGAACTATATTTCAGGCGCCTGAAAGATAGCCTCCCCTCAGGGTAGGTTCAACCGGGCGCTTGACAGCTGCTGTGTGCGATACTACCCACCTATCTGCTGCTCAACTCACCCACCTGCAGAAGACCTCTTGGGTGCAGCCACCGGGGCTGGCCACGGCTGAGGGGAGGGCACCCGCACGCACACTCCTCGTAGGGCAGGTTCAACTGGCCGCTCGACAGCTGCTGTGTAGGATGCAACACTGCCCTCTCTCCCACCCACCCACCTGCAGAAGACCTCTTGGGTGCAGCCACCAGGGCAAGCCACGGCTGAGGGTAGGACACCCGCACACTCCGCAAACGGCAGTTTCAATTGGCCGCTCGACAGCTGCTGAATGACGCCCTCTGCTTTTGCTGCTGCTGCGTCCGCTTCCTCTCTATTCTCCTCCTCCGCCTCCTTACCCTCGTCGCCCTTGTCTTCCTCCTCTCTCATTCCCTTCTGCCACATCAGCAGCCGGGCAGCAGCTAGCTCCAGCGGACCAATGAACCGCAAGCAATGAGAGCACACGAGGGCTCGCGCCTTGGGAATGTGGGGAGGGGGAAGGGGAGGGGGGTTCGGGGGGGCACAGGAAGCAATGAATAATGATTTCTCCTCTAATGGACGACGCTCAGGTTGCTTGTTGCCCTACTGCTGACTGGTTCAACGCGAAACTTATTGTTACGTTTCATGCAGCTGGTTGGTTACCCTATTGTGAGAGTGCTGCATCGCGACAAGCGGAGGCTCCTGCAGCACCACGTCACCTTCCTTGAAATCCACGTCAGCAAACACCCCTGATTGGATGGGAGTGAGGGAGTCAGCACACGAGGCACGGATTGGTGGAATGAGCTGGCACGTAGCAGGTGACAGGTGGCAGATGACGGGTGGCAGATGACAGGTGGCAGATGACAGGTGGCAGATGACATGGCAGATGACAGGTGATGGGAAGGCTCCCCCATACCCGCGTCTCTTTCCCCCCCTCCTCGCCCAGTCACTCCACTCACCCCGCCCCATGTCGCTCGTGTGTCGCACGGTGAGCCCGGCGCCCACGCCCGTCGCAAAGAGGTCGCAGAAGAATCGCTGAGCGACACAAAAACGGGTGGCGGGAGGAGCAGTGACGTTGATGGGAGGGAAATGGGCAGAATGAGACGGGAGGGATGAAAAAGGGAAGTCTCACGCCCGTTCTGGTTTTGAGTCGACTCACAAGCCGTCGCGTGTGCGTGGTTTCGGGATCCTTCGGTGAGGCTGATGGGATTCGGGAGGGAAAACGGGGAGAATGAGAACGGCGGGATCGGAAAGAGAAGTCTCACGCCCGTTCTGGCGACGAGGGCACGCGGGGAAAGGCGTAAGAGGTGGTGAGAGGAGGTGGGTCCCGATTAACGCTAATGGGAGAGATACGAGGCAAGGATCAATGTACGCATTCTATCCATGGATCTCCACGCGCGATTACTAACGGGAATGTCTCTATCGCGTACTTCGGCTACCGCGTCCGGCGGTCGTTGCAGGAGCTGCTCCTCTCGCGAAGTCGCCATTGCAGATCGCAATCCAGCCTTCAGCCTTCAGCTTTCAGCCTTCAGACTTCAGCCTTCAGCCTTCAGCCTTCTAGCCGTTGGAAAATTGCGAGGGAAATGCAAAAGAACAGCTTCGCTATTCTCGGGCGCGGTGACCTAAAGTTTCAACAAGCACCAATAAAGCGAGGGTAGACCCCCAATATACACTTCGAACTGCAGCAACGGAAACCGCAGATGTATGTAGCATTTTTCAAAAATGTGCCTCCTCTACCTAAAAACAAGAAAAACACATGTATTAATAAACAAAAGCGTATACACAGACAAATATCCTACTGTTAAAACTAGCCACGCGGCACAACCAAAACTGCACTGGTGGGGAAGGGGCTCACAAGCCTCACTAAAGATGCATGCAGCTATTTACCCCTTCAGCTATGCAGCTAATGAGGCCTTGGTGGATCATTGCCTCGTCTGAAGTGACAGCTCCATGCTACAGTAGCTCCACAAATGTCTTTGATAATTTTGCAGCATGGAGGATGGGGAGCAGGTGCCATGGACGGCATGCACTTAGGGGGCATACGCAGCAGCATCAGTGGTAGTCCACGGGAGCTGGGTGTTCCTTGAGGTGCTTGCCTGCCTTGATAATGGTCTGCAGTAGGGGATGGGTGCATGGGGGATTGAAACTTAAAAGCCATGAGAGAATAAGACTGGTGAGATTGAGATGGAAAGACCAGAGGGTGGTGTATACTTGGGAATGGAGCATGTCCATTATTTGTATAACAACAGCCTACCATGGGCATTTTCTCACTCAAAAGCCAAGCACAAGGTTTTGCAACCAGGTTACCAACCTCCTCAGATTCACCACAGCATAGTGGCTGACGTCGCGGTGGTGGGCCTCGTCCGCCCGCACCGACAGCACCACGTCATAGAGCGACGCGTCCTTGGGCAGCTGTCAGTAGTCGATGGCGATCTACATCTCTCCTCTCAACACCTGATTTGTAACCGGGTTACCAGAATACAAGCTCACCGCAGCGTAGTGGTTGACGTCGCGGTGATGGGCCGCCTCGTCCGCCCGCACCGACAGCACCACTGACAGCACCACATCATAGAGCATTGCCAAACAGATTCGCATATTTTGAAACCAGGTCACCAGGTAATAAAATCTCACCGCAGCGTAGTGGTTGACGTCGCGGTGGTGGGCCTCGTCCGCCCTGACAGACAGCACCACGTCGTACAGCGTCGCGTCCTTGGGCAGCTGCCAGTAGTCGATGGCGATCTGCGGCGCCGGCACGTTGGCCATGCGCCCCTCGTCGAGCTCCTTGAGGAACTGCGTGTACGAGTGCACCGCCTCCTCCTCCAAGTAGCCCACTATACGGTGTGCGATGCGAGGGGAGAGCACGTAGACGAGACTGTACACTGCAGCAAAGCCGCTCTGTAAGGGGGATAAAGAGCATGAAGGGGGAAGAGCTCTTTCCGGTACTGCGTGTACGAGTGCACCGCCTCCTCCTCCAAGTACCCCACTATGTGATGGGCGATGCGTGGAGACAGAATGTACACGAGGCTGTACACTGCAACGAATCCACTCTGTAAGGGGGATGAAACAGGTGAGGGGGGGATGACCTCCTTGAGGTACTGTGTGTACGAGTGCTCGGCTTCCTCCTCCAAGTAGCCCACGATTCGGTGTGCGATGCGAGGGGAGAGCACGTACACGAGACTGTACACTGCAGCGAAGCCGCTCTGTGAGGGGGATGAAGGGGATCAGGGGCGAAACTGGAGGTACGTGTTTTACTCACCCACCTCAATTTGAGACGTCTCGTTTACCTGAACGGCCATCCAATGACGACTGCCCGCGGGCTTACCTGAACGGTGAAAATGAGGCCCCTTTCGAACCACGTGGGTTTGGAAACTTCCGTGAAGGTCATCAGATGGATGCGCTCGTTATCTGCCTCCCCCAGCAGCGCGCGGATCCACCCGGCCTCTTGGCATTTACCGTAGGAGCTTGCCTGAACAACTGCTCACCTGAACGGTGAAGATGAGTCCCCTTTCGAACCACGTGGGCTTGGAGACCTCCATGAAGGTCATGAGGTGCATGCGCTCGTTCTCCGCCTCCTCCAGCAGCGCGCGGATCCACCCGCCGCTGTTCTCCACCAGGCGCAGGCAGCGCATGTGCAGCAGCATGCCCGCCACCATGCCCGGTACTGCGGCTACCGTTTCCAGCATCATTGCGCGGCAGCCGTAGCGTTTCTGCGAGGAGCGGGTGGGTTTAGAGGGTGAAGCTGTGAATCTAGGAACATGGATACATCATGTCCCGGTAAAAATGTTCATGGTCGAACGGCTGACAGGGGAGCGATGAAGAGAACAGCGTGGGAAACGTCGCGAAGGGAGCAAGTATACGAACTAGGAACATGATCAACAACGAATCTGATGCAAACTGATGGGCATACGAACTACTAACGGACGAATAACAGCGATGAATCGATGACACAGAAAGAAGCGACGGGATTTCAGGGCTTTCAGTAACAAAAGAGCGGCTGAGGAGAAGGGCAGGGAAACGGTACCTGGAAGAAGAGATCGGTGGGGAAGCGGAGCGATTTGACGAGGTACTTGGCGAAAGCGTCGCCGAAGTTGGTAATAGGGTAGTGCCTATCCAGCTCCGTTTTCCTGTTCGCACTGTAGCTGTCGAATGGCTGCACATTTCAACAAATGCAGAAGCCGACAGAGACTCAATAACGAGGACATACAAGTCTGAGCCACGAAAGTTGGGAAACAAAGTTCACAATCGCAGATTGCTGTAACACAAACCCCCATCCTCCGTATATAAAACACAATTGTCATGTGCTAAAGCCGTTATAATAACGTGACGGTATACCACTCACCCGGAATGACCGCCAGGGCCAGGGAGTGCCGTCCTCACGCAAATACTGCTTGGGCTTGATTCCCCAATACTGAGATAATGCTTCCGGGTCACGAGCAATCTTGTAAATGTCCACAGGAGGCTCGTTTTGCGGATTGGGCTGGACGCAAAGAAAACAAACCCGCCATCAGAGCTGAAAACAAGGTCTTGAGTCGCATCTGAGACGAATGGCGTAAAGACAGTCATTGGACTAGCGTACAAGTTGCAGGGAAAATAGCATGTAGTTTACCTTGATGTTTTGTGTCTGCTCTTCTGGCTCCTCTTCCATAACTCGAGCTGTCGCCGTGTTATGCGGGCGAATCTGCATCGTAAGCTGTTCAATCATCGGACTCGCAGCCGCTACACCGCCAATACGCTGCTGTACCGCCGTCCAATGCTGGCCAATCAGCATGCTCTCCTTTCGAGCCGCCGACGAAGCAGGTTGGATTGTGGCTGAAGCGTGCGACGCGCTCCAGAAGGCTGTTCGCACTATCGTGGAAGCCTCGGGCGTGGAGCCGATGCGCGTCGCGGGGGAGAAAATGGATGAAGTCACGTGGGGCGCTACGTTCCTAATACCAGAAGTCTCGAGCTGTAAGAGACGAAAAAAAAAACATCATTAGTACCGATGCGACATCAGAGAAAAAATGTGTCGGGGAAGCGTCTCGGACTCCTCGGTTAGCGTCATTTTTCCGATTTTATAGCGTCGTGTTTAAGATCACGGGGATTGCTTACGACGGTGGTGCAGTAGGCCAATCGCAGTGTCGTTTGATGCGCTGCAGGGTGGCCCAGCAACCTTCGAGCCGCACGGTGATTCCTCATAGCAGCAGCAGCCATGATGTCGATCGATTTCCGCGGCGAAATTCTTAGTCGTAGTTGCGGTGTCAGCGAATGGAACGTGGCGGATGGTTGTGAAGGGAGATGGAAGCGGGCGGGACAGGTCGGGCGACTGCGTGAAGTGGTGGAGTTTTAGGTGGCTGCTGCTGGTGCAGTAGAGGTCTGAACAAAGCTCGTGCGAAGCCCAAAACAGAGCCGAAGGGGAAATTGGTGCATTTGGGTCGGAGATGACAGGGGCTTTGAATGCCTCGGGATTGTCGAGCCGCGTGAATGGTGGAATCGAGGCGCCGCTTGTGATGCGGGTGGAGGGAGTAGGGTGGGGTAGGGTGGGGTGGGGGTGGGGGGAGGGGGTTGCTGCGCTGCCCGGCCTGACAGACGGGCCTTGTCTGTCTCAGCCCGATACCTCATTCCTGAAGACTTTCGCACAGACGTGGCACACGAGGCCCAGGTAACTTCTCGCGAAACCTGCGACGAGGAGATTCAGACGCCGTCAAATCTGGTTGTCGGCTGGTAAGATGCAGGTGAAAGCGAACGCCCGCCACGAATTTTGTCCAACCAGTGACGCGGGAATGGTGGGGCCGTGGAAAGGAAGCGAGGCCGATTGGTTGAGCACGCTGACTCGACTGCCCCTGAGAGGCTGTACAGTGTTCGTGAAACATTCCCTGCGGAACCGAAGCTTCAAGCGAAATCACGCCTGCGATTTGTGTGGTCCGTCCTGGGCCCTCCGATTTGACCACACCTCAGCCAAGCTGATGCCTAGGTCTAGCATGAAAACGGAGTTCGCAAATTCGCTCTGGGCAGGTCCAGCGCGTACGTTTCAGGCTTTGGAAGGGCTAGGTACGTACTACGCAAACGCCCAAAATTGTGCCTTCGAGTGTCAACGTAATGCCTTGTGTCCCCGAAACCCAGGACCCTGGTGTACTGCGCGAATGACTCTCAGGTGGAGGTGCCACGAATTACAGCCAAGCAGAAAATTTCGTCGGCCAAGGGTAAAAAGTCGCACAGGGCGTTTTTCGTACAAGTGCCTCTGTACAATTTCGATCGTTTCGTTTTCGCGAGAAGGTACAGGTAGGGTACCCCGCGCGTTTTTGTATCAAGAATTGTGCATGTCCGCCTACGGGCATAAAAAGAACTGTTCACTGTGTTTCGGATGTACTCTACCCCTTGTTGTGCGCTAAACGTACGCGCTGGACACGCCCTAACTCTCGTCGGGAACGCTGCCCCAATCACAGCAAATGAACAGCATCTTCCACTCCCTGCGTTATTGCGATCACGGTCAACTGCACGTTTGGGTACGTACGCGCAGTAAGAACACGGCCTATGCGAGTACTAAATATGCGAACAATTTCGTCATACACCTTAACTGTTATGAATTATAACTCCGAGAATAGCGCAGTATTCAATAAGGAACATGATTACGGAGTTACGATAGAAATGAGGCCCAGGGAATATACCCTTGTTTCCCGAGTCAGTCACGTCTCGGTTCACTCGCAAAAGCTTCCCGCGTCAATTCTGTTTCTAGCACGTGCAACCGCACCCCGTTTTGAAGCACATGGTGTTCACTGTTTCCAATCACGACAAAGGCAATTATGGAGCTTGCCTGCCGTGATAAACCCCATTTTCCCGTCCAAACTCGCCTCAAACCACATCGCCAGGAGGTTGTGCGAAATTGGGCATCAAAGTCGGCGGAGTCGCACTGAACCCATGGGCGGGTTTGTGTGCTGTGTTACCCTGCTTTGTGATTCTGACCACGTTCCAAAATTTTGTAATTAGGTGCAAGACATTGCAAAAAAATCAAGGGGGTACCGGCTGTTGATAACCGAACAAATGTAGGCCCCCCTTCCACCATCTCATCATCCCACGTATGACAAAGAGAGTAACCTAAGAGCAACACTTACAATCCCATATGCCCGTGGCGAGGTATGCGAAATGAAAGTGGCGTTTTCAGTCCCTGCCGCCCTAAAAACTCTACTGACTGACCCGGGCAACAAGGGTATAGGGCGATTGACCACGGTTGAATGTAGGGGTTTGGACCAGACAAGGGTTCGAGCCCCGAGGGTGACGGGGACCAAATGGGTTCGAGGCGACTCTGGATCAGGTTGGGGGCCAAATAGGTCGGCGAGGGCTGGTTTGGTGCGAGAACTGAGGGCCGAGGCTGCGGGCCCGAAGGGTTCGCCTCGCTGAAGCGAGCCCCAGTAAGGATTCGTAATTCCTTACACTCTCCCACCTCATAAAGAAGTGCCCTCCGTATATCGAAGACCGAACTCCTCATTAAATTAATCCCCGATGTGATTGTAGGTCTTCAACACAATGACGAGTGCAATGAACGCCGTCCTGACGAGGTCTTCAGGTCGAACTTCAATCGAATATCAGAAAACGTCAAAACGATCACATTTAATCCCAGTTGCCGAAGATGGTTGAATTCCCAGCTGACCGAACGGGCAAGGGTAAATACTCCAACGGAAGACTGTGAACAGTAAATCCGCCAGTGGGCGATTGATGGTGATGCGTGACTCCTGGAAAATCCTGTAGTGATGAACTGGCGAATAACGTGGATTGTGGATGAGGAAGAGCCGTTCATCAACACGCGATATCGTTCGTGACACGTACAAAAATATCCGTTTATGTTTCGCGAAAGTCATCGAAGTCCATCAACGGGCAGGCGAACAATGGCGAAACTCTGTAACTTAAGTCGAAGTCGGTCGGAGATGTATGAATGAACACGTCAAAAAGGTCTTCGAAAATTCGCAGCACATCTGCACTTCTCCTCCCCCTCCAAGAAAAAACAGCTCCCAACTTCCCATGTAAAACTCTAGGAAACCCAATGCTCCAAGGTAGTCGAATACCCAACACTGCTGCGTCAAATTCTCATACTCAGCGTCGAAGATGCCGTTAAAATATATCATAAGCGACGAAACTCGAATAATGAGGACTCCAAAATCTTCTACAAGTAAATATTTTCTTGACGGTAAAATGCTTTGAAGGACTTGAAATACCGCAACAACTACTCCAGAAGACTCCCGTACGAATTTGAAAATTCTTTACAAGTGAAACACTTCGTGCGATTTGGACCCAACTGTCAAATATATATGTGTATGTGCGTACTCTAGATAGGTGTGTACTCTTAGAGAGCACAACCTCTTAGCACAAAACCATCATGTATCTCTTATTCTACCTAATTTGTTACTCTCAGATGGTATCATACTAGGTTAGGTCCTCCCCGCTCACCTGCGCTTCCGCCCTAGTCCTAGTCCTAGACCTAGCCGCCCATCGCTAGCCGCCCGTAGCCGCTCGTAGCCCCGCGCCCGCTGGCCCTGCGATTGCCAGCCCTACACCCGCTGGCCCCGAGCTCGACAGCCCCGTGCCCGCCGGCCCCGTGCTCGCTGGCCTCGCGCCTGCCGGCCCCTGTGTTCGCCAACCCCGTGCCTGCTGGCCCTGCGCCCGACTGCCCCGCGCGCGCTGGCCCTGAGTTAGCCAGCCCCGTGCCCGCCGGCTTCGTGCTCTCTCGCCCCGCGCTCGCCGGCCCCTGCGCTCGCCAGCCCTGCGCTCGCTGGCCCCGCGCCCGCTGACCCTGCGCCCGCCCCCCCCTCGCCTGCTACCCCCGATTTTGCCGGCCCCGCGCCCGCTGGCCCCTGCGCTCGCCAGCCCCGCGCCCGCTGGCCCTGCACCTGCTGGCCCCGCGCCTGCTGGCCCCGAGTTCGCCAGCCCCTCGCTAGCTCACCCCGCGCCCGCCAGCCCCGCACTCACCAACCTCGTGCTCGCTGGCCCCACGCTTTCTGGCCCCGCGCTCGCTGGCCCCACGCTGCCAGCCCCCTTGCCCCAACCCTGCACTCACGCCGGCCCCAGCTCCGTCGGCCACCACTTCGCCAGCCCCAGCTCCGCCGGCCGCAGCTTCGCTGGTCCCAGCCCACCCCGACCCTTGCTACCGCCGAGCCGCGCAGATCTGCCAGCCTTGGCTCCCCCTCTGAGCTGGCGCTCCCGCCGATAGGCTCCACCGCTCTCCATCGCACTCCACCGCTCTCCACCGTGCTCCACGGCTCTCATCGCACTTGACCGCACTCCACCGCTCTCCACCGTCTTCCTCCTCTTTCCTCCCCCCCCCTCCCCCATCACCAGCAGTCAGCTGCTGCAGCCGTGGTGTTGACGGACTTTGTGCTCCGCATAGATGCGGAGGGTTGGGCCGTTGAGTTTGAGGTGTGGCTCGTCGACCTCTGCCGCCAGCTGACCGGTCATCCCCAAGACGGCTATTCCCTGGTCGTCCATGTCGACGGTAAGCTCCCCTGCCCCGCCATGCCGCTAACTTCCCTGACGCCCCCACGTCTGCTGAGCGTAAGCCTCTTGCCGCTGCTGAGCTTGCCTGCACTGTCTCGGAGTCGCGTCACGCCGTTGCATTGCTTGCCATTAGTTACGCCCTCCCCCTCTCTGAGTGTCACCGCTTTATCGTGGTAGCAAATGCAGAGGAGTACTTAGATGTAGATATTGCACACTATTCCACTCCCTCCTCATCCTCTGCTGACCATTTGATCCTCCCCATGTTGTTTCCTGATCTTGCATCCGTCCCCACTGTTGCTGACCTTGCCACTCACCTTCGCGCACTTGAGACTAGCTACCGTGCCGCTAACACTGATGCACACCTCACTACCTTCCTGCCGCCACTTTGTGCTACCCTTTACCTTTTTGCCACGTGCCTTCCTGACCGCCTAGCCATTGCCCGCAACCACTTCCTTAGTCAGCACCCAGGTGACCTTACCCTTACCGCCCTGTCTGCGATAGAGATCCGCCAGTGCACTATCGTCAGTCTAGCGGTACTGTGGCTCTCCCTATCTTCCAGGGCTATGCTCCCTCCCAGTGCACTTACTCTGACGTTTCTGCAGCTGTCGCAGAGGCAACCCCTACTGCTGAGACCGCTGCCGCAGCCTCTGTGCAGCCTCGTCAGGGTGAGGGCCGCCGCCCCAAGGGGGAGCGTGGCGGAGGGAAGGATAGCAGGGGTGGTGGGGGTGGTGGTGGGGGTGGTCGAGATGGGGGCGGGGATGGTGGAGCAGCCTCAGCCGCAACAGCAGCAGCAGTAGTCGCAGCAGCAGCCCTGGGGACCTTCGCCGTAGTGGTGGCCTGGCGGCGCTGGTGATGGTGGTCGTGGTGGTGGGCCGCGCAGCTCGGTGTAGGGTGGCGGCTCCAGTGTGGTCACCTACGAGTACCAGCTTCAA